CTTCTCGTCATGTCAACTAGTGTATCCAGCCAAACGTGTTCATCGTACTTGGGACCCCAGCCCGGAGACATCAACAAACACCAAGTATGGAGTGGGTTTTCATTGTTCTTGCCCAAGTTATTATCTGGTCTCCCTTCCTGTTCCTCCATCCACACGCCGGTGCGTAAACAACGCACGTCGCAGGAGTTGGTATGCTGAAATGCGCAACACGTGGCTCAGCAATCGGAGCATGGTCCATGACAACGGTGATGAGCGGTTTACTCGCTCTCTGAACCAAATACACGACGCCGAACACGCTCATTGCCCACACCAGACATAAGCTAAGTTGCGAAAGCAACAATGATCCAACGTGACAAGCCTCTTTATGGCTGTCAACCGTACAGGAAAGCTGAACGGACGGTTGCATTGAAAATTATGCTTTTGCCGCCCCGTAGTCTTAAGGATCACAAAGCTGCATTAGAATTGATGGCGCGGGTACAAGCCTGGGTAAGGACCGGGAGAGCATCGCAGTATCTGCAGCCCATGTGAGACTGGTGGTGGTTACGCGGCAACGAAGTGTCGATGCTGTGTACCGGTGTATTGCTTACGCCTTTCATGGGCGGGAGTGAGGTTGCGCCGGAGCCACAGAGGCGAAGATTAGCAAAGGCGCCTCGAGCTCTGTCTATACGGTCTGTTATCTCAGCTACAATCCCACAGGTGCTGACTAGATACCTGAATTCCTAGACTTATAACTGATCACCACCAAGGGTCAGCGCAGGGGTTCCTGCCAACATTGGAGGACTTTATATTCCGAAAGCGCCGAGCATAGTCTGAAACGATTAACAGCCAGTGCTAATCTGTTCAGTGCTGTTTGGCACGCTTGAGAGCTAGCGCGAATTAGAGCAATATAGCCAACGTACTCCAATTCAAAACGTCGGTCACCTGGGAGCAGCTCCACACCTTGGCCGTGCCCAGTGAACACTGATTCCAAGACCTCGTCGATGGCGAAGTCAAAAAGGAAAGTTGATCGCAGGCAATCTTGTCTCACACTGCTGGAGCCAATGAAGGAGGGCGACAGTTTGCCATGAGCCCTCATTCTGCTCGAAAAGCGCTCTAATGTGTAGGTATTTTTATGCAGACCTTTCCTGAGCAGACAATCCCAAAGGGCACGTCGATCTACCGAAGCAATGGCACCTCTGGTGCCAAAGAACCCAACTAAGGAGCGTCGCGGTGGTGGTGTTCCAACAACTGATGTAATGTGATGTCATCATTATAGCCGCAACTTAGACGAATCTAGTTTCCACGGGTGCCGGCAATTATGTGACGAACGAGAGTCGAGTATTTTAGAGGTAAATGTAATCAGACTTCTCTCTTTATGAATGCGGCATTAGGAACGAAAAACGCTGAAAATTGGGATTATAACGGAGCGCCTCCAGTCTGCTGGGAAAGTCACCTGCTCCCACATTTTCCCAAGTGTTTCAAAGTATCTAAAGAGCAGGTCCCACGAGTTTAAAGAGCGCTAGAGGAAGTCTATCTGCTCCTGCGATTTTATCCAATTTCAGCAGCGTGACCTTACGTTCGACTTCTACGCATGAAGGCCGGTCCAGAAATAGCGATCAATGGCCGATAGGGAAGCTGGTAATTATGACTGATTAATCGGCTTTTCAATATGTTCGTTCATACGTCATAAGCCATTTGACAAGATGGAAATAGGCTGTCTGCTCTCGTCGCGTGTGGTCACACTAACACCAGGTTTACTGCTGCACGTTTCGTGTAGCAGACGTAATAACTTCCGATAGTTACCACGGGCAGCGGCCATTTCTATTTCCGACGCAGAATGAGACCACCACGCTTCCTGATCTCTCTCCAGGCTAACATGCAGTTTCGCCCTAGGTCTTTAGGAGTGTGTTCGCAACCAGCCGGAATGTGCCGGCGAGCATTCAGAAGTTCCAGTGCCTGAGTAGAGACCCAATGTTTAGATTTGTGATTTGATTTGCCACGTGAAGACATGCCTGTTGTTAATAACGCCTAGCGGATATGCGACTCGTGGCCCTCCACTATGTTTGGAGAGTGTTTACCTAGCTCGGATGCCAGCGTACTAGAATACGCATTCAGAACACTGTGCCACTATCTGAAAAGCGCTCACAGCGTCGCCGCACGCGTCCACCGAAGAGGACTTTAAGATCGGCACAAATGAGTGCGTGGTCAGAGTCCACCCTCATGCTCCAAATCAAGCGACAGTTTAGTAACACAGCCACTGATCGTCACATGATCGATTTGCGTAAATGGCTGGTGGGCGCCATGTCGCTCTTCTGCGAGTGCTGTGTCAGAAGTTATTGCTCAAGAGAAATAGACGAGCATCTTCATACAAGTGTAGTAATCATTCCCTGTTATCGTTACGGGAGCCTACACCCCGATGTAACTCATCAGTGGACAGTTTCGCAGCTTGGGCGTTCTGATCACCAGCAAGTGCCACAGTAACCATACCTCTCCCGTAACGAAGGAGCTCGTTCAGTTGGTGCCAGAATTCATCTTCACTATCATTATCATTCAAAATACACCTTAGAGGTGTAAAGCACCTCACCGAGTCAACACTAGTTTGTGGGGCCGCAGGCCGCGCGACTTCAAAGCTTTGAACGGGCTAATCCATCTGACGGCGCATATAGAAATAGTAATTGGAATCTAATCGATCATAGTAGCCTCAGCTCGAGGGCCCAAAGCAATGTCCATGCCGGCATGACAGGTATTTGAAGCTGCGTCATCTTCGAACAAGCGCAATGAGAAAATACTCTGTCGCATGTGAAGGGTTACAGGGTAAGCACAAAGCCGGGATTCTGGTAAACAGCAGATATCGATCACTAGAATCTCTACTGCTCAGACGAGTGCTACCTACTGACCGATTTGCAAGTGTGCATGTTGTGACATGCCAGCGTTAGCCAAGGTCGAGGGCTCCAAATAGGAACGGATGAACTGACGTCGCCAGCTTGATTGAACATGAACTTGTCGACTGGACCTAAGCACTGCCTTGTAACTGCATGAGTCAAAACTGGAAGACATGCGACTATCGAAGGAAGACGGAGAGCCAAAAATGGTGGGTTGAGAGCAGGGGGATAAAAGTGAGTTTGAAAGGGGACGATGAAGATAAAATCGCGCAAGAGGGAGAGTAGGAAGACGGGTTGTCTTGAGCAGTTGCATCCAAACCCCTATTGACCCTGCTCGATGCAATATAGGGGGACGTTGATTATCCTCTGCGACGACCATAAGATCAAGAAATCCTTAAAAGGGAAATCCATTATATTGCGCAGGTATGATACTGTCAAGTTGCTCAGAACAATTAGGGTTCTTAACCGAAGCCTTTGGTATAAAAACCGCATTACAAATCAGTTGGGGTTTTGGCACTGGGTTACAAAGAGTGTATTTTCTGGATTAAGGAGCCAGATTCCCTGCAACCTCCAAGCAGGAGGACCAAAAGACTGAGTTGGTCTGGTTCTTAAGCATGGACTAAACTGGTATGAGTGGTTTCGAAGATGTAAAAAAGCACCATCTAGCATACATCAATATATCGTTGAGGCACGCAACTGCACAACCTCAAGGTACAGTCTCGTCGCGACCGCTGTAAACTTTATCGTCCGTGTCCGAGTGATGTCGCATACGCGCCATAGCTAGTAGTAGTAACTAGTGTGCTAGCTGTACGCCGTAGAGACGTTTTACTGAACGTGAGCACCACCAGTTGCGCGCGGGCTGAGTATACCGCGAGGACGCCCATCCATACGACTTTTGGTTTATCCCTATTTAAAGTAAACGCAGAAAGTAGTTACTGCCAGACTTGGAGCTTTGCATTTGGTGGGTGTAAATCACAGCCAGAAAACGGCTGTCAACTAACACTAATCTGGCCAGTGTTACTCGGCCCCTTTGCGAGCTGTCACAGATTAGGACAGTGTCGTCGGCATACTCCAAGTCAAGAAGTTAATCACCTGGAAGCAGCTACTCAACTTCTAGATATAGTCCGGTGAAAGCAGTTTCTACAGATGCGTCGTTTGCAAAGCTGAAGAACAAAGGGGACAGCGCGTATCCAACCCACCACAGCGAATATTGAACGGCGACAGCTTGCAAAAAGCACTCACCCTGATCGAAAACTTCGTACGTATAACGCAGCTTTATAGTCACATAATTCTCGGACACGGATTTTCTCAAGAAACATCAATCCTGCGAGTCGAAGGCAACTACGGTGCCCACGAAAACTAGGTTGGGTGGCCAATATCTGTGAGTGCTACGCGGTAACTCGACTTTTTTGGCGTGCCATACTGATCGAGCTTTTCAAGTGAAATATCGCGAAGCCCAGTGTGTGACGAAATAATCGTGACAAAATTTAACCACTGTCAAATTTACTCTGAGATCAAGTGGTTATGTCGAAAGTGGTGACTAAGAGTATCCAGTGCATTGCCTGCAAACTGGACATGTGGCCAAAAGCGTTGCTCGCAACTTACTGAAGCGCTACGCTGAGCAAAAGGGTTTGCTATGGATTTGTCGATATTGCATCGATGATTTATCTTCCTAGCCTTTGCTTACTTCACGTGACTGCCACAGCAGGAACTGCTAGGGCAGGAAACGTGGGCATTAATTGGTTGGACAGGGTGCGATACAGGTGTTCCGTTTTAGATCTATCAATAACTGAACACTTCATCAATTCCTGGCTCAAAGATCCACACAAAATGGAACGCTTACGGGATTCTACTATCGTTCCAGTCCCACCTGGACTTAAACCCATTTGGAACTTACTGCATTGGTGGTTCATTGCTCAGAAGCGCAAGCCAAGAGAGGGATATTGGAGTGATAGTGTCATTAGACCTCAAATCTACTCAAGATACCCAGAAGAGGATCGCCGCGGCCTACAGGATGTTCCATTCTATACGTAGTGGGTTTTTTCTCATGAAACAGGGGCTTTTCCGACTCCTCTTTGGCCCGCATGTACGCCCGATTCTCGAATATGGGCTACACGCAGCCTACCCTCTCAGCAAATCCGGATAGCGTCCTCCGGTCGGTTATTTTTGGCTGTGTTGACAAGATCACTTTGTGTTAACTTTCTGCGTTCATTGGAAGTATTTCGTGGAAATTGAGCTACAATTCAGTTTCATTTCCGATTCTGAAATTTCCGACCAGAAATACTTGTATTTCATCGCTTGGTTTCTGCGATCTTGCTATCGCCACTTTCTTCGTCAATTGGCCGCCATCTTGTTTTCGGATTATTCGCAATGCCGAAGCAGTCATCCTGTGGTACTTGCTCCAAACTAGTCGGATACCGTGCAAATGCCCTCACGTGTGCATTTTGCCAAGTTAAATACCATATTTCATGTGTTGGATTATCAGTTGAGCATTTTCATCGTCTTCGCGAGATCCAACACGATTTCGTCCAAACTATATGTGAAAATTGCCGAAATCAGATACAGCCAGAAAGAGTAAAGCCGACGTGTAGTCCTCAGCGTTTCGTTGCGAACAGCTCCGTGTGTTTGGCCCAACAACCTAGCGCGAAGAGCCTTCAGATTTCGGCTCAGTCGTCCTCCTCTACCCGTGCAAACTCACTGACACCAAGTCCAACCGTTGTGAGAAGCCCAGTTGCACCTGGGCTAAATTGTTTACCTTTGTTGTGTCCACCGGACACTGATGTCCCAGCAGGTGAAAGTCTGAGTGCTGAAGACCAGTGGAAAGATCAGAGGACGAAATTACGAAGGAACGTTGGGCGTTTACGTTCTGTAAGTCAACGGTTAGCCAAACCACTTGAGGCTGGTAGTATACTTCGCCCTGCAAGGCCAACCTCGTCCGACCAGAGGCGTTATAATCTCGTGATCTTTCACGCACCGGAGTCCAGTGATCCATCACCCCAAGTGCGCTACGATCACGATGTCGAGTTTTTACAGGGTCTAATTGATAGACTCCTCGACGCTGGTGAGGACTCAGTAAAAGTGAGGCAGATTACCCGTCTTGGAAAGCAAGGTGATCAACAAAATCGGCCTATGAGAATCACTTTTGTGGACGAAGCCAGTCCAAGACTTATCATGTCTCGCCTAAGTAGGCTGAAAGGTTTGAAGATCCATGTTCGTCCCGACCTGGACCCAGTAGACAGGGAGCGGCTCAAGTCTGCCATCATTGAGTTGAAAAGACGCACTGGTGAGGGGGAAACAAATCTTCGTATCGTAAATTTTCGGGTGGTTTCCAACAATCCGCGAATCAGGATAAACAGGCTGCTCACACTTCAAGCACGCCCGGTGGCTCCTGCTGCGGCCTGCGAGTAGCGTTCACAAACGTTTGCAGTATTATGAATAAGCGCGATGAGCTTTGTTGTTTCGTTGCGTCTGAGCGGCCAGACGTAGTGGGACTCGCAGAGACATGGCTGCATGCAGAGTTATACACCCAAGAACTTGAACTCAACGGTTACTCGTGTTTCCGATGCGATAGACTAAAGAATGCCCACGGTGGTGTCTTACTTTACATCCGGTCTTCCCTGCGTGGGAGACTTGTGAGCACCTACCGAAGTGACGATGGCCTGTGTGAGCTACTGTGGTGCTCCATCCGCCTCAGGCGCGGAGAACTGCTTGTGGGCGCAGTTTATCGCAGTCCCCTGAGTCGTTGTTTGGATTGGCTGCCCCATCTTCGGACCCACATGAGTCGTCCACACTTTCTGCTTATGGGCGATTTTAACTGTCCTCGAATACGATGGCCTGATGTGCATTTGATGCCTGGACATAGTGAGGTTGAAGCAAAGTTCGTGGATTTGGTACTTGAAACTGGTGCATCGCAACACATATGCCAGCCAACACGCATATCAACACGTTCAACCTCGTCCTGTCTCGACCTGATGTTAACGAGCTACGAACAACGAGTGCGTGACGTTAGGATTCTGGAGCCCCTGGCTACGAGCGACCACTCAGTACTGATAGCTGATATGGAATTATCTTTGCCGTATTCACATCCGCTGCAACCAGCTCCCAACTACTGGAAAACCGACTTCGATGGTCTTGCTCGAGCCGCGAGCCAACTGGATTGGTCTCTGTCACAAACTGCATCTGTGGAAGATTGTTGGATATTTATAAAAGAGAGATTGACATCATTGTGTTCCAAATTTGTGCCATTGAAATGTCGAAAGGTTGGACCGATTAAGCCTCATTGGTTTGATAAGGAGTATGGAAACCTGGCTCGGAGGCGGCGCAGACTGTGGGACAAATTCCTTCTCTCTGGCTCTGCCAATGATTACGAAGGGTATAAATGTCAGCGGAATCTCTGCAACAGTGCAAAAAAGAATAAACGCCGACACTTTGAAGAGCAGCTCGCATTAGCCGCGAAGACCGCCCCAAAGAGAATCTTTGCATACGTGAAGCGACGCCTGAAGCCGGCGGGTGATGTGCCAGTGCTGGATGGCACGGATGGACAGCCCCTAACCTCCAGCACTGAGCGTGCGTCCGCGTTGGCGGCGCACTTCGCTTCTGTATTTGCAAATAACCAGGTGTCTGTTCCGAGTTCGACGTGTACCGCTTTTACCGAACTCGATAGTCTGCATTGCGGCGTCGAAGAGGTAGCTCAACTACTCGCCAACCTTGACGGCACCAAACCTGCCGGACCTGATGGGCTTCACCCACTGGTTCTCAAGTCACTTTCAACCATCCTCTCTCCTATCGTGACTGACCTTTTCAACAGGTCGCTGTCCGAAGGTTTGTTGCCGGTTGACTGGAAATGTGCGGTGGTGAAGCCTATTCCGAAAGGCGGCGACCCTAGCAAAGTAGACAATTACAGGCCAATTTGTCTGACACCTATATTGGCAAAGGTTGCTGAGAAAATCGTGAAGAAGAGATTGCTGCAGTTGCTACAGTCAAACGAGGTCCTGACGCCCGCACAGCACGGTTTTATGCAAGGTCGCTCATGCATTACAAACCTGCTTGTGACGAGGCATGAGTGGTTGAAGGCAATAAACAAGGGGAAGTCCGTCGACGTGATATTCATCGATTTCAGTAAAGCGTTCGACAAGGTCAGTCATGAGGTTCTCCTTCACAAACTCAGCATGTGTGGCGTCGGTGGCTCACTGCACCGGTGGATCCGCGACTTTCTTGTTGGACGAAAGTGGAGGGTACAGGTCGACGACCATCTAACTGACTGGTACCCCTCTACAAGTGGCGTGCCTCAAGGCACTGTGCTGGGGCCCACTTTGTTCCTGATCCACATCAACGATCTACCGCAGCGTCTCCGGTCGCCGTGTGCCTTGTTTGCGGACGACATGAAGATTTGGAGAGAAATCGACGCTCCCGACGACTGTGGCCTACTTCAGCAAGATCTCAACCGCTTATCCACATGGTCTGCAGAAGTTCTTCTCCCGGTCAACCCAGCCAAGTCGGTATTTATGAGCCTGGGGAAGGGTGCAGACGGCCGAACCTACACCCTTGACGGCCAAACGCTATATCCCACACCCTCCGTGAAGGACCTAGGTGTACTCTCACGCTACGATTTGAAGTCCGTGGACAACACGAACAGCCTATATCGGAACGGACTGCGCATGCTTTGGGCGCTCAAACGTAGCTTCTGCACATGGTCTGAAGAGGTTGCCACTCGCCTGTTCTCTTCTATCATTAGACCAATGCTAGAGTACGGTTCGCCCGCCTACTTTCCGATTACCCGAGGCGAGGCACAAAAGATCGAACGGGTCCAACACGTTGTTACCAGGCTGATCCCGAGTTTACGTGGCTTTGGGTATGAAGACCGGTGCGAGAAACTAGGACTCTACACCTTGTCCTACCGTCGGGTACGAGTCGACCTCATTATGACCTACCGAATTCTACATCTCGGTGAGTTCCCCATGTTAAGGCCAATGCTGCACTTACGAGGGCCATGCAGCACACGCGGACACAGATACAAACTTGTTGTGCCGGATATGAAACGTGTTCCCCACCCACTGTGCTTCGAACGGAGAGTGGTAAACATTTGGAATAGTTTGCCCGAACATGTGATTGAGGCAACATCTGTGCAACAGTTCAAAACGTTGTTAGATTTGCATTTTGCCTCTATTCGATTCAGAGAACGACTGCATACTTACGATGACATATCACATTTGTGAATCCTGAAATATCGTAAGTCGAATATTTTAAATATTACATGAGAACGACAAGGATATTCACGGTTGACAACTATTATAATGTTTTTCACAATATTTCGAAAGAGTTGTACAGAATCCATTTCTACTTGCTCTATAATACAGTATTCAGTATTCAGATAGAGAAGGTTCAATGGCGTGGATCCAAATCCGTCCCTGATTTGCGAGACCTGTCGTATCCACTCCGACTTCAACGACTGAACTTGTTCTCTTTAGGTTACCGCCGTCACCGCGGAGATTTGATATTCACTCGACGTATTATCAGAGAAGAACTGGGATGCGAGTTACAGGACTTCTTAAAACTCAACACTGAGAGTTCGACACGAGGCCACCGCTTGAAACTGTTCAAATCGAGGAATCTTTGTGTGCGGCTCAACTTGGCCTTAGCAACTCGCGTAGTGAATGATTGGAACCGGTTGCCGGATCCAATTGTTGATGGTAAGACAGGGGAAGGTTCCAAACAACTGTTGGATTCCCACCTGAGCGCGCTGGGATTCTACTGCCTTTAGCACAGCTACAGTGGCCCTCTGCGGAACCTTGTGCCGCAATGATCCACGCCATCTCCGCAATGATGGGGAAGTGAAGGAGCTGACAAAGGATATCCCTTCTGCTCTCTATCATCAAATGATCCACTTTACCTCCTGGAGCCAGTACTCGAGGTGGAGGGTGCTGGATGACATTAAACAGGTCAGAAGCTAAGAAAACCTTGTTTTACATCAGAGACAACGGCAAAGCCATCCGACGTTGGTCCATAGGGTTGCATCCTCGCCCGCATACCACTGTGCAGAGATACAACTAAACTAACGGGCTTACTCAGACAACAAAACACCAGGCACAGTGCCTTGCGGTACACCGTGTCAAATGCCTTGCTGAAGCCTACAAACAGCCAGTACAATGGTTGGTGTCGCTCTTGGCATTTCTCTTGTATAAGATCCTGTCGCAACGAGACTGGACCTTAACGTGGTGCGACGGTTTGCGTACCTCATTGACCCATTGAGCTATACTGGGTGATGCCTCCGAGCATCTTGAGAGCTACTCCTACCAGGTTGGTCAATGGTGAGAGGTCAGACAAACTCAGTCTCCTGGTCCTCCAGGTTGGAGGTTTGAAATGGGATGGCGTCCATTTCTGTAAAACTAAATCACTGCCACCTCTCCGCTGCCTTGCGGACAGGCTTTTGAGCCAAAGGCTTTGGATGAGGACCCTAATCGTCCTCCTGTCTAGGTCTGGGCGCCCTGGCAGTATCCCAGCCCACATACAACCATGACATTTTCTTCAAACATAAACTTCATCCTGCATCGGCCGTCGCGCAGATTATCAAGGGTCGCCTTATCTGCTGCATATAGCAGGGCGGATAAGCGAAAACATGCTACTGCTGGCGCCTCCCTTCTTCCTTTTCCACCTTTTTCTCTTACTCCCATCCCGGCCCCCATTACTAACCTTCCTTCTATAATTCCCAGCTTAATTGACAGCAACCGAAGTGCCACTGGAGTAGAACCATCTGCAGCCACCATCCCACCGCACCTATCGGACGCCTATCGGCAAAAGTCCCTTATAAGGCCACGCTATCCCGTTTCCATGGCGACATTCAACGTCCGCACTCTAAGACAAACAGGTCAGCAGGCTGCACTCGCACGCACCTTGGACACACTGGGTGTTGATGTGTGTTGTGTGTCCGAAACTAGGATTAATGACCCTAACGGGGTTATTGAATTGACTGCACCCGGCTTATCCTCTCGTTATTGGTTGCACGCATCCGGAGACGCCGATGCGGCACTCACGGGTCAAGCTGGTGTAGGTATCATTCTCAGCTCCAAGGCTGAGTCATCGTTGGTTGATTGGATTCCGGTGAACAGCCGTTTATGTGCAGCCCGTTTGACGACATCAGCTAAGGTGAATTCGCGAAGTAAAACAAAACGCTGTTTGTTTGTGATTTCCGCTTATGCTCCCACCGACTGCAGTTCTAATGCAGTCAAGGACACTTTCTATCACGAACTGAACGCGCTACTACGCAGTGCTACTAGTTCAGATATTATAGTATTTGCAGGGGATATGAACGCACAAGTAGGGCGTCTGAGCTCTTCAGAAGCTCAGCTAGGTGGTAATTATGGACTTAACGCCGAACGGACTGACAACGGCGAGCGTCTGCTGCAACTGTGTGCGGAGCACCAGTTGTTTCTTACTAGCACTGCTTTTAGACACAGTGGGCGCCGAAGTGCCACTTGGCGTCCACCTGTAGCTGGCCAGCGATGGACCCAAATTGACCACATAGCCATAAGTTACAGGTGGCGCGGTTCCATTCTGGATTGCCGCTCGTACTGGAGTACCTGTGTCGACTCTGATCATGCCTTGGTGCGCTGTCGTTTCTCCATGAACTTTACCGGAAGGCGCACAAAGCGTCTCCCCCGATTGGCAACGGAGAAATTGTCCCAGCCCTCGGTCAGGCAAGCCTATCAAGAAGCACTGCATACCGAACTCTCGCTGTCTTGTCCTAATGACACTGAACTTCAGTGGAATAGGATCTCGGCCGCTATGCACGACGCAGGAGCATCTGTTTGTGGCACTATCAGTCGTCACCGCACCAGTCACTGGATATCCGAGAGGTTCGTGAACTTGTTGGAATCTAGAAGACACCTCCCGGCTGGTTCTGAACACAATGTGACCAGACGGGCTATTAGGCGTGAACTAAAGCAGAGCCTACGTGCTGACAAGGAAGCCTGGTGGACCAGTAGGGCTCAAGAAATGGAGGAGGCAGGAGCAGTAGGCAATTACCGCAAGCTCTTCCAGCTAATCCGCACCACTGGTCCCAGAAAACCAGGCGTCAGTGAGATAATCAGAGACAGCGCGGTGCGCTGATACACAATAAGGAGCGCCGTATGGCTCGTTGGGCGGAACACTTTCAAGATCAGTTCAGCTGGCCCCCTGCTCCCGGACCTCTTCCTACTCAGGTGATGCAGGACGTGCCATGGACGGTTAGTTTAGAGCCTCCGTCGGAGGCCGAGGTCCGAAACGCGATCACAGCCCTCAATCGTTTTCGTGCCGCTGGCCCGGATTCCCTCCCACCTGCACTATTTAAGGATGGAGGTGAGGTCCTCTGCAAGGCACTGACCTCCCTATTCGAACGTATCTGGAACGAAGAGTGTCCCGGCTAATTGGAGCGAATCGATTATAGTGGCAATATACAAGAAGGGCAGTCGCACAGACTGTGCGAACCACAGGGGTATTAGCCTAACGCCAGTTGTGACAAAAGTATTGGCCTCGATTATCGTTCGTCGCCTCACTGCAGAACGGGAATCTCGGATTAGGGAAGAGCAGGCCGGTTTTCGCCCAGGACGTGGCTGTATAGACCATATATTTACTTTGCGGCAGGTGCTAGAGCAGCGCCACGCATACCGCAGACCGACAATAGCTGTGTTCCTCGATTTCAAGAGTGCGTTCGATTCAGTCGATCGATCGATTCTGTTCGAATTACTTGCGCGGAAAGGTGTTCCCACGAAATATGTGAACATCCTTCGTGCTCTATACTCGAACACTACAGGCCGCGTCAGGGTCTATGGTGTCCTATCGGATAGCTTTTCGACTACAAGTGGCGTTCGTCAGGGTTGTCCGATTTCCCCGTTTTTGTTCAATTTCGTCGTGGATTCTATCATGGAGTGTTCCCTGACGGAATCCAACGATGTAGGCGTTGAAGTGCTGCCTGGTGAAAGGTTAGTTGACCTAGATTATGCGGACGATATCGTCTTGCTTTTCGACGATTTTGCGGCGGCACAATCAACCCTGAATAGCCTGTCCAGAGTGATCCCATTATTTGGTATGCACTTCGCACCTTCAAAGTGCAAAGTGTTGCTGCAGGACCACCAGCCACTTGATGACCCCTTGACGCTTGCTAACGAGGAACTCGAGGTGGTTGATCAATTCACTTATCTTGGCAGCTGCATCAGCAATGATGGGCGCATAGAAACTGACGTGAGCTCACGCATTGCAAAGGCCAGAGCTGCCTTCTTGAACCTGCGTCATCTTTGGCGACAGAAGGGAGTTTCCCTCCGTCTGAAAGGCCGTGTATACAAGGCCACAGTGAGGGCCGTTCTGCTCTATGGTAGTGAAACTTGGCCCCTTCGGTCTGAAGATCTGAGGCGCCTTCAAGTCTTTGATCATCGTTGTCTGCGAAGCATTGCTGGTGTCGGATGGCACCAGCGTGTCCCCAACGATGATGTGCGTAGGCGAGTACTAGGTAGTGATAATCATGCTAGCTCCCTAGAACAACAGATAGCACTGAATAAGTTGCGTTGGCTCGGGCACGTGCTACGCATGCCTGGTCACCGCTTACCTAGGAGGGCCTTGTTCAGTCTACCAGGTGTAGGATGGCGCAAGGCTCGAGGTGGACAGAAGTTGACTTGGCAGCGTGAAATGAAGTCACTGACGACCAAACTGGGTGCCGTTGGTCCGTCTCGCCTTCCGGGTTGGAGTCCACGTGACTCACCTTGTGCTTGGCTCGAGACTTTACAGGACATGGCTCGCAACCGACACCAGTGGCGCGTCTGCTGCCGTCTTCTAATCGGATTGCCTGTTTAAAGTATGTTTGGTGCTGAGTTATCTGCGGGGTAATGGCTGATTATGACGCGTGGCAGTGAAAGCCGCAAGGAAGCTGTCTCGCCGATGCCGCCTTATCTTTGCACGATAGCCAGCTGTTTGTGACGGTATGTTGTCTACACAAGGTGTAGGCGCCTTGACCCTGAATGTTTGCTTAGGGCATTAAGGTTTTCAGGTAAGTCCCCCTTCTCTCCCTCTTCTTATTCTTTATTTCATAGGTCCTCATGGTTGTATGGCAGCGAAGCATCAGTTCAAATGGCTGATGTACTGCTGTTGATGATGATGATGTATAAGATCAGTGGATGATAGAGAGCAGGAGGAAGTTCCTTGTCAGCTCCGTCACTCCTTAATCGTTGCGGAGATAGCCTGGGTTATTGCGGAACGAGGTCCCATAGAGAATCACTGAAGCTGCATTGGAAACAGCTGGATCCCTGTAAACTACAATGAGAATCCAATAAATGTTTGAAACGTTCCTCGGTCTCGGCAACGCGGATGGACTTCGGAAGGCGGTTCCAGTCATTCACAACGCGAGTGGATAAAGCCAGGCTGGATCGCACTCGATGACTCCTCGGTATAAACAGTTGTGAACTGTGGCCTCCTGTTGAACTCTCTGTGTTGAGATGAAAGAATTCCTGTAATTCCCTCCCCAACTCTCCTCTAAGAATACGTCGGGTGAAGATCAAGTCTCCGCGATGACGACGGTAACCCAGGGAAGAGGTTCAGTTGTTTGAGTCGGAGAGAATAGGACAGGTCCCGCAGCTCAATAACAGATTTGGATCCACGCCGTTGAACCTTTACAATCATATCACATACAAATTTCGTAAGAGGGTAGGCTGCAGGTAGCTCGTATTCGAGAAGCGGGCGTACATGTGAAATAAACAGGAGTCGGAAGATCCCCGGGGTCAGGCGAGAGAAGGCTCTGCGTATAGAGTGAAACATCCTGTAGGCCGCAACGACCTTTTTCTTGGTATCTTCATTAGATTTGAGGTCAGGCGAAAGTAGCACTCCCAAATCCCTCTCCTGAGTGGCGTTTCTGAGCAAGGAACCACCAATATGGTAGATTCTAAATGGAGCAGACGCACCAACTAGAAGGACCGAACACTTCTCAGGATTCATCGGTAAATGCCACTTAATTGATCAATCATGTAGCATGTCGAGTGTTGATTATAACCTGTCGGCATCGTCCATACTGGATACCTCCATCCACAGGTTCAGTTTGTCGGTGTAGATTAGGCAATCCGCCTGGAGTTTGGACGGTAAGTCATTGATAAAGACGTTGAAAAGCACGGGGCCGAGGAAAGAAACTTGTGGGACTCCACTAGTCATGAGAACAAGGGCGGAAAATGTTTCGTTTACTTGCACCTGCATCGTGCGGTCGCGAAGGCAATCAGAGATCCAAGAGAGAAGATTCCCGGCGATACCGATTCCTCGGAGTTTAAGCAAAAGCCGTTCGTGCGGCATCCTGTCGAAAGTTTTGCTGAAATCCACAAACACAACGTCCAGGCGTTTACCAGAATCTAGCGATTTTGCCCATTTCTCCTTAGCAACTAATAAGTTTGAGGTACATGAACGTGCTCTTCGAAAACCATGCTGTGCACAAGAGAAGAGATTCAGTTCCTCGAGGTAGAGATGAAGAGCCTACTTCAAGATCCGCTCCATAACTTTACACAAAATACCGACGTTAAGCAGATAGGACGATAGTTGGCTGGATCTTGCCTGTACCCTCCTTTGTATATGAGTTTGACAATGCCCGCTTTCCAAGCCGACGGAGACGACGGAAAACCTGACAGATAGGAGGGGCGATGTACTGTGCCACAGTCCTAAGGAACAAGGAATGCAAGCCATCCGGGCCGGGTGAAGAATGCGGATCTAAATCAAGGAGAAGTTTAACCACAGAATTGATGTTAATGTCTACTTGATCCAACAGATAAGGAAAACTGGACACATTGTAGTCGCAGGCGGGAGTTTCTTTCGCGAAGACAGAGGCGTACTGCTGGGGCAAAAGACTGGCTTTATCAGCGTCTTCGTAAAGTAAATTTCGATGTTCAAAGGAACACAAGGTAGGGATGCCAATTCCAGCCCTGGTGCTTCTTTTCAGATAAGAGAAAAGCATTGTGGGTGTCGTTCTGGAGTGTACTGCTAATGATAGTTCATATTGCTGACGTTTCTGACGCTTCAAGGTGACACAAACATTGCTGGTAGTCTTGTAGGAAGAGTAATCGGATTCCGTTTGAGATTGCCTGAAACGGTCCCACAATTTGCGCCTTCTGTTCATCAGAGATCTCAATTCACTGTCAATCCAAGGTGGACCCCTCTTGAAGAACTTTCTACGGGAGAAAGGAACGACCTGCTCAACTAGAGAAGTCATTTTGGAGAGCACAAGGTTCCATGCATCATCAAGAGGAATGGGATCAGGAATACTCCAGTCCAGAGCGCTTG